TAGGGGTCCAGAGAAAACTACGGAGTCCGACATTGTTTTAGCAAAGTTACACACCGACTCAACATTAACTTTAGTGACCTCTGACTGGCAAAGTCGGGAGTCATTAGCGCCGATGTGAATAACAACCTTACTGTATTTACGCTTATCCTTAGTCAGCAGCTTCAAATAGGATTCAATGTCACTGAATTTCATGGCAACATTGTGTAAGGTCAGGGTTAGGATTAGGCAAGTAGTAGTTATGATTAAAGCTACGATAAGTCTACAGGAAATGAATGTAAGTCAATGTAAAGTTCACAAGGAATGAAAACACAGCATGTGTGTGCGTGTGTTAGTGTGTGTGCGCATGCACAGAGGTACAGAAATCTTATGAATCAATCATTCTGGTTAGACCTCTTCTTATTGGCTGGCCTAGTTGAGGTGGGTGGGATGGGGGTGGGGGGTGGCGAGATAAAAGGAGCAAATGTCTCTTGTCCTGCTTACATGCACACAAATACACTCACCATGTGCCTGGCTGTCTGTCTGTTTGTCTGTTTGTAGACGATAAAGAAGAGAAGAAGACCACTGTCCAAAGCCACTCATCCCTGCCAAAGCTCTTATATGAATATGTGAGTATACACACGCACACACAAACACACATCCATACAACATGTCTAATCCTATTTGAGATAAGGATAAGGATAAGGGCTCTGCTTTGCAATAAAGGACAGAGATGTACAGGGTAAAACACTTGTTGAATGATAAGGTGCTACGGTAGAGCAAGGAACAATGTTCATAGGTTGTGCAGCTGAAAAGGCAGTATGAGAGTAATTTGGATGGGAACACAGTTTAAGCTTTTTGCTACATCATAATGAATCTGTTGTGCTGTCACAGGTTTGTTCTTTAATGCATGGTATTAACATGGTTTGCTGTTGACAAATCAACTCATAAACTTTACTGAATCATTGCATTATTGGTTGTGTTGTATGCTTTTCTGTTGGTGTCATTTAATAAAGTGAAACAAAGCTAAGCTAAGATCAGACTGATTCAGGGGTACATTTAATGATTTGGGGGGGGCCCAGACAAACCGAAACCTCCCTTCCCCTTGCTTTATTTTTTTCTGATTGTGTCATGAGGATGTTATTGGTATTAGGAAGGTTGCTGATTGGTGTAACTTGGTCTCACATACTCATTCTGCCAGAACAAATCACTTGCTAAATAAGGAAAAGTCTTGAATTCACTCCTTCGTACATTATGAAACACTCATACTCCAGAAAGTGAAATCTAACTAAGATGAAATATCTTAAGCCAAGTTAACAAATATTGTAACTTGTTACTGAGATTTTGATACCGGTTAAAAGAAGCTTAATGCTTGAAATTAGAATTACCATAATTATAAACAATTATCAACAGAATAATTAAAACTGGGCGGCACAGCAGAACAGGGGTTAGCGCTGTCTCCTCACAGTAGGACAGTTCTGGATTCGAGCCTTTCTGTGTGGAGTTTGCATGTTCTCCCTGTGCCTGTGTGGTTTCTCTCCGGGTGCTCCAGTTTCCTCCCAAAGACATGGAGCTTAGGTTGAATGGAGACTCTAAAGTGCCCATAGGAGTGAGTGTGTATCTAGCCACAGGGGTTTCACATCAGTGACTTCTGTAAAAATCTGATTTGCTGTGGTGACCTCTAACAGGAACAGCTGAAAGTAGAGAAGAACAGAATAATCAAAACTGACAAGTGCAAACTTGTTTTTAAATCTTGGCAAGTGAAAATTTCCTGTTCTGTTTAGGTAAAACTTTCCACATTTTATTACATTTTTTAGAGCTGGGTTTTTGCAGTGCAGTTGACATAAACCCAGTTAGCTCGACAATGATCAACTCATTTCTACCAGCCAGATCAAAGGTTAAATGTTGTGTATGAATTGTGTGTGTGTGTGTGTGTGTGTGTGTGTGTGTATGTGCTTGCTATGTAGTGAGGACCAAAAAAGTATTTTTTGTCACAGAGTGAGGAACTTTTGGAAAGTGAGGACATTTTGGCTCGTCTTCTCTTTCTGAAACACCTTTTGAAGATTTTAGGGTTAAGACCCTAAGGTTTTAGGGTTCAGGTAAGAATTGCATTATGTCAATGAGTGTCCTCACAAAGATAAAAGTACCTGTGAGTGTGTGTGTGCGCTTTTTAATTTGTCCCTTGTTTGACTCTGTAGTGCTAGTCGAATTTAATCTGAGAGGAATCATCTCATCCATCCAGTTGAAATATCAACAAGTGCTTGAGAAACGGTTTTTCTGTGCTGTATTCCAGTAATACCATGGATGCAGCAGAGTTTCGGCGCAGAGGGAGGGAGATGGTGGACTATGTGGCTGACTATCTGGAAAACATAGAACAGCGACCGGTATACCCCGATTTGGAACCAGGCTATCTTCGTTCCTTGATCCCCACTGAAGCCCCACTGGAACCTGAAAATTATGAGGATATTATGAAAGATGTGGAGAGGGTCATAATGCCAGGGGTGAGTTTATACTAGTGGTGATTTTCTGCAGTGCACCAGGTTGTAGATACACAGATTCTCTTATGTACTTTTGAAAATGTCATTCAGATAAGTCTTTTAGGTCATTTTGCAAAGTAATACTGATGTAGATAAAACGGCTTATTTTTATTAAGTTTGAGAATCTATTGAGCAATTTAATGACAAATTGACATGACACAGTCAAACATAACAGCTGCTTCAGTGTCTCCCCTTACTAAAATAAAAAAATACTGATTTTACTAGTTGGGATTTGAGTCCATGTGTTCAGGTCACTTTAATAATTTTCACTAATAAAGTAATCGTCTACCCAGTGCTATGTTAGCTGTATGAAACTGGCAACAGTACAGCACAATGCAGTAAGAGGTTGTGCTATGACCAGCAGATGGGATTTTGGAAACCTCCCATCTCTCTTTTAAAATCTTGCAAGTGTTGTTCATTTCTGACCTGCAAGATGCCACTAACAGTGTTCCTCTAGTCTATGACTCATCACAACATCAGTTTATCTCATTTGTTAATTTCTAAGTGTGGCTAAAGTTCTGCGGTCTTTGATGGTAAACCTCCTCTGCTGAGAGTGAGGACCTTTCCTGGTTGCTATAAAGGCTGACAAGAAGCTAATGCTTGGTATTTGGCTAACAGTGGTAGTGTAAGTCACTTTTGTTCACTGTTACTAAAACTCTAATATAAGTAACCACAACTTTTGAAAGCAAAATGCTCCCACAAAGGTATATAAATTATAGATATATAAGAAATGTATATTGATCCCCAATTAAATGTAAGTGTTTTTATATGTTTTGTCTGTCTCCAGGTTACTCACTGGCACAGCCCGTACTTCTTTGCTTACTTTCCAGCTGCTTCCTCCTACCCTGCCATGTTGGCTGACATGTTATGTGGAGCCATTGGCTGTATTGGATTCTCCTGGGTACCAAGCATATTGTTGTCTCTCTAGATCTGGCTTTGTATATTTTTATATGTAAGCACAAAACATTTTGTGTGTGTGTGTGTTTCAGGCTGCCAGTCCAGCCTGCACAGAGCTGGAGACAGTGATGTTAGACTGGCTTGGGAAGATGCTACAACTGCCTGAGAGTTTTATAGCCGGCAGTCACGGACATGGAGGAGGTGTCATCCAAGTAAGTGTTTTTTGTGTGCATTTATCCTTTTGTTATTTAACAAAAAATTCCTTTTAAGACCTGTCTAGACAAAAGAAAGTTCCCTGCGCCAACAGAATTAAAATGTTTGCTCATGATTTTTTTGTTGCACAAAGCCAAGTCAAATTCTCAGGGACCATAACTTTTAGTAATTTCTGTTTCCATCACTTCTTGTTTGCTTGCTAGTTTGACTTTCAGAAAAACTAAAGTTCATATACTAACTCGGAGCCCCTGAGCCCATGTTCATCAGCCAGTTATGTACCATTGATTACTTGCCTTTATCTCTCTGTGGTTCACAGCTGAAAATTGGCAGGAAATTGCCTTTTAATATGTCATCCACAGGCAGACAGGGATGACAGCAATGGTGCTGGGATTGTTTCGTGTGGCAAAAGGCTAAGCATTAGTTTAGTGTTCCATTGACTGAAACTGCAGCAGAGGATGCTATTTATATATGTGTATGTGTTCATGGAGTAGTGGAGCATGAGAGTGCACTCTGATGACAGATCATTTCATGCCTCTTCTATTGTGAACACCACCTGAATTTGAGTGTGCTTATGTGGGTGTGCTCATCTGGTTCATCGTGCTTTTGTTTTTGCCTTGCCACTCTCCTTTTTAAGTGTAGCTTACCAGCTCACTATGGCAACAAATGGGGCTTTTCTCACTGCAGTGGGGCTAATGAGTGTTGTGACAGCACATTGGCAGTCTATTATTATAAACCTTATACTCACACAAAGGGGAAATCAAATGGTTTCAAAAAGCCCCTATGATGACTTCAGATTTCTTTTACCCCATGTGAGTTGTTTGACTTTGGTGGCAGAACAAAACACTTTGCTCATGATTAATATTAATATCATTAATTGTTAAATAAAATTGTTAAAGACACAAACTTGTATTTTCTCTTTTAATGCATGCACCATCCTTAGGCATCGAACTTCAATCCCTATCCTGACTGTGCAGATTCTTTTTTCAGCTAAAGGAAACAATAGGTTTCAAGTGTCACATG